GTAGATAGGTGCACTTGTCGTGCGGTTCACACTCCTCCCCAGGTTTTTAAACAGGAGTAGAGGTTTATCCCTTGTTTTCTGTTTAGGATTGGGTTTCCAGTTCTTTTGTAAAGTCTTCTTATTCTCTTTCACCCCCAGTAGCCCCTCGTGTCTTAATTGCGTTATCACCTTGCTTGGGGTTGAATTGATTAAAATAAAAACGAAAACAAAATGAATAAGAACAATCCAGCTTTTTTGCAACTGAGTTGTTACATCTTGGTTATAGGAGAGATCAGCTGCAAGCTTCTGACCATTTGAGTTTTGAAAGTACATTTCCCATATCGTTCCCATATCGTTTCAATAGCAAACGTTAAAAAAATTAAAATAAATAAATAAAAACTAAATAAAACTGATTTGTAATTAGCTAGAGTCTAATTTCTATAATGAGACAATGAGAATGTAAAAATCCTACATCCACCCGCTTAAAGTGAATCGTCTTTTGTCCCGCTAATGTATATTTTGTTCATAGGAAATAAAACTCAATTTCTGATAACGTAGGCTCATCGGTGAAACATATCAAAGTAGAAATGTTCCAAGTTGTCTTAGGGGTAGATAGGTTCACTTATTGTCCGGTTTATACTCCTCCCCCGGTCTTTTAAATAGGAGTAGACATTATTTGTCTATATTTCTGAGATGAGGTATTATGTACACTATTTACATTATTCGGACTATTGTCCTCATCTTTGTCGCTATATTTATTACAATGTTTCGGCCGTTGTATGCTCCGGCCTTCTTCAGGTGGTTGGAATGTCGAACTGAACCCTTTATTTCGCTCACTGGGGTAGTTTCACGTGCCATGTTTTAATCGATGTCAGTTATCAGTTATATCCTGTTAATTCCCCTCTCCAAGTTTTCCACTGCGTTAACCGGGTTTCCTATCGCATACGGAAGCTTCGCAAAAAGAAATCATCGCCGACAGAGGACTAGATTGCAAATCAAAAGAGCTAAAGCTGCAGCAAGGAAAAGAAAGTCCCGTGCAAATGAAAACCTAAATCAGACAAGAGTCAGGAGATATTCCAATGCTGATAATATGAAAATGAAGAGCCCCCCGCAGGAGGTAGCTTAAATGTCGCTAGACAGGGTGGCTTTTAAGCTTCACGCACATACATACAGACTTTTTAATTAAACTCAAATATCTCAAAAAAAATATTCTTTCCACACAAAACTTTTACGTCATCAACCATCTTTAAATTATATCAACATTGTTGTTTTTGTATCTCAATTGTTTTGTCTTAAATATATAACATTTTCGTTATTATTATTCTGCTAATCTATTGAATTAATTTATCTTGAAATAGCAAACATTTTCTATGAAAACAGGGAACACGCGATTAATTTAAACCAACCTTCAAATAATGATAATTAGCCGTTTCCTTATCAGGAAACATTCGGCATTCATTCACCGAACATCTTATACTACTGTCGTTTGAAAATAGGAAGAGGCAGCTGAATTTTTTGGGACACATAATGAGAAAGGAGGGCCTGGAGAATCTGATACTCACAGGTCGAATAGAGGGAAAGAGAGACAAGGGAAAACAACGCGTGACATAACTGGAGGGCTTAAGCAAGTGGATGACAGAGTGTGGTCTTGGGGAGGAAGCAGGGGCGGGGACTTGTTGAGAGCCATTATCGCCTACGTCCTGAACGGACATGGCGCATAAAAAGAAAAGAAAGTTCTTCCCAGTTTCCTTCCTAACTTTTTATTTGAAGTAGTGGGGAAAGTAAATATCTTGATGACGTCATTATTTCGAGTTTTATTTATATATATTTTATATTCGAGTTATATGTGATATCTATTTTAGCTGTTGCTACTATTGAAAATCTTTAGTTCTTTGTTTGTGATCATGTAACGCCAATCTACAAAATTCAGAGTAGTGTGGTTTTCACCAAGGTCTATAGACTTCATACACTCAAACCCATTTTAACGATTTATCATAGAAAGTGATTGTAGACAGCTGACTTTTTTTTAGCTATTTCTGAATGGATTTAATGTTATGTATGACATCCATATGAAAATCTCGATCTGACGAGGCTATTTAAGAAAATGACTCGAGTTTTCGTGTTAATGTTCTGGTTTTGTAGCATTTTGTGATGTTGGACCTTGCGCCCCTACAAATGATTCTGCTTCGTTTATCTGAAAGGAAGAAGTGAATAAATATTGAAATTCAAAACTTCAGATAACGTATATCATCTATTTATTTTTTTTAAATGGCGTTCATCCTGAACAAGGCCCGAGAACCACTCGTGGTAGAGGGTTACAGAGTAAGAGGCACAGTTTATGTAGATATTCGTAAAAGATAAATTTTCGAAATATCAACCGTCGCCTACGTCTTGAAAGGACATGGCACATAAAAAGAAAAGAAAGTGCTTCCCAGTATCGAAGAGGTTTCGTTCCTAACTTTTTATTTGAAGTAGTGGGGAAAGTAAATATCTTGATGACGTCATCATTTCGAGTTTAGTGTGAGATATTTAGCCATTGATTGAAGTTGAACAGGAAAAATAAGAAGCAAACTATGCCTTGGTTTTTCAGAACGACGATCAAAATTAAATCTTGTTTGTAGGAGAATAAAAAACCGTATTTAATTTGATGTTCTGAGAAGAGAAAAAAAAACAGCGTGTGTCGCCTTGAACCTGATCCCATTTTTTTTTCATCCAAAACGATTTACTTGAACGTGGCACACAAGCCTACTAGTTCTTCAAGTAGTACCGCCGTTATTACCGTCGACTGGAATCGTTTACCGATATCATAAATTGGATATCACTTACCAACCTCATCCTCCAATTTGTCAAAGAGGTCAGCCTCTGTGGTCTGGGTCACACTCGGGCCAGCGCAGCTAGTCTCACTCTAAAGGAACCGCAGTGGAATTTACTGAGTCATAAAGTAACTTTGTGTCTCTTTCACAACATAGTAATATTTCCCTGTTGTTAATGCTTGACTAATCAGTATTGGCCGACAAGTAAGGAGAAAAGGAGGGCAACGTTATTTCTGTTTCTCTCTCTCTTCTCTCTCTCTCTCTCTTGCAACCTCCCCCACTCTTTTTCTTTCAAACACACGCACACATTACAAACACGTTTACCAACACTTGCATCTGTGCGCATACAAGATCGCACGCGCTAACATAGGCGCTCTTACGAGAGGCAAAAGCGTGGATTAAACAGCGAGTGATGCTCTGTCGTTAGCTTAATTCAATTTTGTAAGATTACGGCAGTTAAACGCTTGAATGAGCGGATATTTATGCTGCACTCTCTTTAAGTAATAATAATAAGGAGACTGATGATTATAACTCTCTTACAAATCTTATTGTGATAATTATCGATATTGACACGCTCAAGTTGCGCCAGTCCATGTCCTGTCACCTTAAGACTCCCACCAGTGGTGCGTACAAAGCGCTGCCAACCCACCTGTTGACATAACCTGGCGCGTATTGAGTTACACGAGTCTGACCTGAGCCTGAACCCATCTATGAACACCTAATCAAACACGTTACCAGGTCGCATTTGCCCCTCATGTGGTCGTCCTGTATCAATGAAATCAGGCTTCACGTATTTTTCTTTTACGAGTTTAAACCCTATCGCTTTCCGACCTCTTTTAGTTTCTTTCTTCTTTGAAATTCCTCTTTCATATTTTTATTCCTTCTCTTATTTTCATTCAATCCAATTAGTTTTCTACCCTTTTTTTTTTCTTTGAGCTAATCATTTTCTTCTGCCTTGTTTTACTCTATTGGCCTTCTTATTTTTCCATTTTCTTATCCTTCCTTTCAGAAAAGAATTCCCTTTGTTCTTCGTTATTGACACGTTCATTCTTTCTACACATTTTCCTCCCAGCTATGGGTTAAATAGTAAGACTTGTATCAGGAAATCGTTATTATCTCCCCACAAAATCTTATATTTCAAAAATATATTTTGGTTTTAAATAAATGAAGAAAGGTTGATAGTTTGTATAAAACAAATCAATCCTCTTTCTATATTCTTTTCGTTTCCTTTTTCTGTTTGTATTTTCAATTTCACCTCTTTTTTTCCCCTCGTATGGAACTAATCTCTCCTGTACAAACGCATATACTAAGCTGACTTCAACATTTTTTTTCTTCAGAAAGGCGAGAATGCCAGTAGGGTGCAAGGGGCTGCTGGGAGTGAAAGAGAATGAAAAAAAAATCCGGAAACCCAATCTTAAACTGGAAAAAAGATATAAACCCTACTTCTGTTCAAAAGGCCAGGGAGGAGTATAAACTGGGCGATAGGCGCACCTATCCTCCCTATATAGGTAAGATACGTCAGTCCGTCAGGACACTCACTCACACACGCACACGCGCAAATACACATAGAAGAACACACGCCCATACCTGACCCTATTCTCAGAGTTGGCTTTTCTTTCACATTTGCTCTTCTCTCACCCACATTTGTTCTTCTCTCTCCCAACCTTTCTCGATTTTCCCACTCCCTTACTCCCTCCCACTCTTCCTCCTTCTTCACCACACCTATTCTCTTTCTCTCTTCGTCTCGCCCATCTCCTTTCTTCTTTCAGGGTCCAGTTTTTATGTAAGCCGGCGGATTAGTAATTCAGTCGTTATTAGCTGAATTTGGATCTACAATGTTCACTGCATAACGTTCGATCTACATGATTGATATTCAGCACCGAATTAATTGAATTGACAAGGAATGAGATTATGTTGAGAAATAAATATTTGTGGCATACAATAAGTGCATTTGACATCATTAAACTACAGATTTGTCGATGCATTTATATACTTACCTAAACATATTAAACTTAGCTGAATACAACACAAGGCAAAGTTCACACTCCTTCCACCAAACATATCAGCTGATTTAGAAAACCAGCTTTGGAAATATCGTCTTTCACACCGAACGCAAACACCGCATTGATTGCATCTGTGAGGCAGACACCCTATTATTAGAAATTCACCTCACTAAAAGTAAAGTATTTAAACCTACATGAAGCGTCTTTAATAAGGATGAGGGTTATAGGGAATGAAAGAGACTGAAACGTCTTTAATAACGATGGGGACTATTGGGAATGAGAGAGACTGAAACGTCTTTAATAAGGATGGGGGGCTATAGGGAATGAAAGAGAATGAAACGTCTTTAATAAGGATGGGGGCTATAGGGAATGGAAGAGAATGAAACGTCTTTAATAAGGATGGGGGCTATAGGGAATGAACGAGAGTGAAACGTCTTTAATAAGGATGGGGGCTATAGGGAATGAGAGAGATTGAAACGTCTTTAATAAGGATGGGAGCTATAGGGAATGAAAGAGAATGAAACGTCTTTAATAAGGATGGGGGCTATAGGGAATGGAAGAGAATGAAACGTCTTTAATAAGGATGGGGGCTATAGGGAATGAACGAGACTGAAACGTCTTTAATAAGGATGGGGGCTATAGGGAATGAAAGAGACTGAAACGTCTTTAATAAGGATGGGGGCTATAGGGAATGAAAGAGACTGAAACGTCTTTAATAAGGATGCGAGCTATAGGGAATGAACGAGACTGAAACGTCTTTAATAAGGATGGGGGCTATAGGGAATGAGAGAGATTGAAACGACTTTAATAAGGATGTGGGCTATAGGGAATGAAAGAGAATGAAACGTCTTTAATAAGGATGGGGGCTATTGGGAATGAAATAGACTGAAACGTCTTTAATAAGGATGGGGACTATTGGGAATGAGAGAGACTGAAACGTCTTTAATAAGGATGGGGGGCTATAGGAAATGAAAGAGAATGAAACGTCTTTAATAAGGATGGGGACTATTGGGAATGAAAGAGACTGAAACGTCTTTAATAAGGATGGGGGTTATAGGGAATGAAAGAGACTGAAACGTCTTTAATAACGATGGGGACTATTGGGAATGAGAGAGACTGAAACGTCTTTAATAAGGATGGGGGCTATAGGGAATGAAAGAGAATGAAACGTCTTTAATAAGGATGGGGCTATAGGGAATGGAAGAGAATGAAACGTCTTTAATAAGGATGGGGGCTATAGGGAATGAGAGAGATTGAAACGTCTTTAATAAGGATGTGGGCTATAGGGAATGAAAGAGAATGAAACGTCTTTAATAAGGATGGGGGCTATAGGGAATGAAAGAAAATGAAACGTTTTTAATAAGGATGAGGGCTATAGGGAATGAACGAGACTGAAACGTCTTTAATAAGGATGGGGGCTATAGGGAATGAAAGAGACTGAAACGTCTTTAATAAGGATGGGGGCTATAGGGAATGAAAGAGACTGAAACGTCTTTAATAAGGATGGGAGCTATAGGGAATGAACGAGACTGAAACCTCTTTAATAAGGAATGGGGCTATAGGGAATGAGAGAGATTGAAACGTCTTTAATAAGGATGGGGGTATAGGGAATGAAAGAGAATGAAACGTCTTTAATAAGGATGGGGACTATTGGGAATGAAAGAGACTGAAACGTCTTTAATAAGGATGGGGGTTATAGGGAATGAAAGAGACTGAAACGTCTTTAATAACGATGGGGACTATTGGGAATGAGAGAGACTGAAACGTCTTTAATAAGGATGGGGGGCTATAGGGAATGAAAGAGAATGAAACGTCTTTAATAAGGATGGGGGCTATAGGGAATGGAAGAGAATGAAACGTCTTTAATAAGGATGGGGGCTATAGGGAATGAGAGAGATTGAAACGTCTTTAATAAGGATGGGGGCTATAGGGAATGAAAGAGAATGAAACGTCTTTAATAAGGATGGGGGCTATAGGGAATGAAAGAAAATGAAACGTTTTTAATAAAGATGAGGGCTATAGGGAATGAACGAGACTGAAACGTCTTTAATAAGGATGGGGGCTATAGGGAATGAAAGAGACTGAAACGTCTTTAATAAGGATGGGGGCTATAGGGAATGAAAGAGACTGAAACGTCTTTAATAAGGATGGGAGCTATAGGGAATGAACGAGACTGAAACCTCTTTAATAAGGAATGGGGCTATAGGGAATGAGAGAGATTGAAACGTCTTTAATAAGGATGGGGGTATAGGGAATGAAAGAGAATGAAACGTCTTTAATAAGGATGGGGGATATAGGGAATGGAAGAGAATGAAACGTCTTTAATAAGGATGCGAGCTATAGGGAATGAACGAGACTGAAACGTCTTTAATAAGGATGGGGGCTATAAGGAATGTAAGAGACTGAAACGTCTTTAATAAGGATGGGGGCTATAGGGAATGAAAGAGACTGAAACGTCTTTAATAAGGATGCGAGCTATAGGGAATGAACGAGACTGAAACGTCTTTAATAAGGATGGGGGCTATAGGGAATGAGAGAGATTGAAACGTCTTTAATAAGGATGTGGGCTATAGGGAATGAAAGAGAATGAAACGTCTTTAATAAGGATGGGGGCTATTGGGAATGAAATAGACTGAAACGTCTTTAATAAGGATGGGGGTTATAGGGAATGAAAGAGACTGAAACGTCTTTAATAAGGATGGGGACTATTGGGAATGAGAGAGACTGAAACGTCTTTAATACGGATGGGGGGCTATAGGGAATGAAAGAGAATGAAACGTCTTTAATAAGGATGACGACTATTGGGAATGAAATAGACTGAAACGTCTTTAATAAGGATGGGGGTTATAGGGAATGAAAGAGACTGAAACGTCTTTAATAAGGATGGGGACTATTGGGAATGAGAGAGACTGAAACGTCTTTAATAAGGATGGAGGGCTATAGGGAATGAAAGAGAATGAAACGTCTTTAATAAGGATGAGGACTATTGGGAATGAAATAGACTGAAACGTCTTTAATAAGGATGGGGGTTATAGGGAATGAAAGAGACTGAAACGTCTTTAATAAGGATGGGGACTATTGGGAATGAGAGAGACTGAAACGTCTTTAATAAGGATGGGGGGCTATAGGGAATGAAAGAGAATGAAACGTCTTTAATAAGGATGGGGGCTATAGGGAAGGGAAGAGAATGAAACGTCTTTAATAAGGATGGGTGCTATAGGGAATGAACGAGACTGAAACGTCTTTAATAAGGATGGGGGCTATAGGGAATGAGAGAGATTGAAACGTCTTTAATAAGGATGGGGGCTATAGGGAATGAAAGAGAATGAAACGTCTTTAATAAGGATGGGGGATATAGGGAATGAAAGAAAATGAAACGTTTTTAATAAGGATGGGGGCTATAGGGAATGAACGAGACTGAAACGTCTTTAATAAGGATGGGGGCTATAGGGAATGAAAGAGACTGAAACGTCTTTAATAAGGATGGGAGCTATAGGGAATGAACGAGACTGAAACGTCTTTAATAAGGATGGGGGCTATAGGGAATGAGAGAGATTGAAACGTCTTTAATAAGGATGGGGGCTATAGGGAATGAAAGAGAATGAAACGTCTTTAATAAGGATGCGGGCTATAGGGAATGAAAGAAAATGAAACGTTTTTAATAAGGATGGAGGCTATAGGGAATGAACGAGACTGAAACGTCTTTAATAAGGATGGGGGTTATAGGGAATGAAAGAGAATGAAACGTCTTTAATAAGGATGGGGGCTATAGGGAATGAAAGAGATTGAAGCGTCTTTAATAACGAGAAGTGAGGGAAAGACAGTAAAAGAACCGGGTTCAGGAATTAAAAAGTAGTACAAGAAAATGAAGAGAAAGAACCAATCATCTGTAGACAAAAAATAGAGTTTCTAGCAAGAGGGACAGCCTAACAGGCAAGCTACATATAGAACAGAACAAAATCAAGCAAATACTCATATTTAACTTTTTGTTAAATCAATTCACCCTAAGCAAGGCGATAATGTCACAAAGATGCAACGGTCTACTGTGAGTGGAAGAGAATGAAATACTTTACAAGAACATTATTTACATTATTCGGACTATTGTCCTCATCTTTGTCGCCATATTTATTACAACGTTTCGGCCGTTGTACGCTCCGACCTTCTTCAGGTGGTGGGAATGTCGAACTGAACCCTTTATTTCGCTCACTTGTGTAGACTGTCCCTAGTTCCACATGCCATGTTTAATGGATGTCAGTTATCAGTTATCTCCTGTTAATTTTCCCTCTGAAAGTTCTCCACTACCTGGTTAAGGAGTGAGCGAAAATAACGGGTTCAGTGAGCGAAATAAAGGGTTCAGTTCGACATTCCAACCACCTGAAGAAGGCCGGAGCGTGCAACGGCCGAAACGTTGTAATAAATATGGCGACAAAGATGAGGACAATAGTCCTAATAATGTAAATAATGTACATAATACCTCATCTCAGAAATATAGACAGACTTTACAAGAAATCGGAAATTGAATTCTAAACAGGAAACAAGTGATAAAACTCTATTCCTGTTCAAAAGGCCGGGGTATGGACCTGACGATAGGCACTCTTATCAACTCAACACTGTTGAGATTTGTTCGCTTCGAGACATACACTCACGTGGGGGAGTGTAAACCGGATGTTATTTAAGATGCTTTCCAAAAACAGAATACAGTGTAACCCGGATATAAGAGAGTTGCCGGAACCGGAGAAGAAGTCTCTTATATCCGGGTTTCTCTTATATCCGGGTTTGGTCTAATTTGTGTACATTAACACAGGCTCTAATTTGGGACCAGAGAAAATCTCTCTTATATCCGGGTTTCACTTATATCCGGGTCTCTTATATCCGGGTTACACTGTATTAAGAAACAGGTAAATTTTGTTAGGAACAAAGAAATGAGTACTGAAAAGCCATTTTAACATATGGCATTGAATTCCTGACCGTTTGTTTATTGACGAAGAGGAGACTGCATGCATTAGAGATATGGTTCTACAGAAGGATGCTGGGAATAATATGGGCGGAATATGTAAGCAACGAAGAGGTTTTTCAAAATGGGAACAAAAAGAACACTTTTACTTAGAATGAAAGAGAGAGAGGCAGTTGAAATTTTTTGGACACATAAGGAAAGAGGGCGTGGAGAAATTGGCACTCACGAGACATGTAGGCTACATGTTAAACAGCGAGTAACGCGCCTAACAAATTATTGTAAATGGATGAGAGAACAGGGTCTGGGAGGGATATTAAGGGGGCAAACTTTGCTTAAACGTACACAGCATAGGAAGTTGTGGAGATCCATGATCGCTCAGCTCATAAAGGGCCGTGGTATGTAAAAGAAGAAACGTAAAGTCGTTCATTTCCTTTTTGTTTTTTGCTTTCTTTAATTTGAGCTATTTTTTTTTCAAAATGTCTTCTCCCTTCTCACTTGATCTTTCACTTTTCTGTTTGCCTATACTCCGACATGCATACACACGTGCACACTGAGATGCATCGGTCCCAGTGGAGCACTTGCAGTCTTATGCGTACAATTTCACTGTATAAAGAGAACATGCACCCATCCATACATACATACTCGAAAGCACTCGTAACTGCAGCCCTCCCTTTTTGTGCGCCGATGCGAACACACTATCACATACTAGCACATTTTCCCGCCTATTTACGAGGATTGCTGGTGTCGGCGTGCTTTTGAATCTGTTTTACCGTGTGTCGACAGATTGGCCAGTAGAACGCCTTCACCAATGCCATGCTCTCATTAGACATAAATTCGAAGACTCATCCATTAAACCTCTTGATGTCAGGCAAATATTATGACTAGAGGTTATTTTCTAGAGAAAAACGCCTCGTACCTTAGTCAAGTTTTTTTTTCAGTAATTAAAGGCCAAAATACTAAAAGAGATGAATATAAAGAAAACAAGACGCGAATTAAAAAAAAAAGTTAAAATTAAAAAAAATGGGTTCAGATTAAAACATTGAAAAGCCTGGGTGGGAAAGGCTGAGTGAGTGAAAAGGGGATTGAGTGGAAGATGCGAGTAAGTGAGGGTAGTGAGAGTGGGTGTTTGATCATTGGTAGCGGTGGATGTTGGTCGAGGGTGGGCGGGGAAGAAGAAAGGCGGCCGAGACTAGAGGTTTTGTTACGGTAAAGAAAGAGGCGGGAAGGGCAGGTGCTGGGCTTAGCAGGGTGAGCGCGAGGTAGCAAGAGAGTAACATTTTCAATTTGATCGCAATAGCTAGTTAAAGTAAAAGAGAAACTAAAAATTTGTAGCCAATTGAAAAGACCCCTAATTGAGATCGATAGCGAAAAGAGAAAAAGCTGGAGAGAGAGAGAGAGAGAGAGAGAGAGAGAGAGAAGAAAAGAAGAAAAGAAAAAGAAAAAGTCATACAAGGCAACACGATTTAAAAGAAAAACGAAATAGAAGCATCTAAAGTGTATAAAATAGAAAAGGTTGTGAATGGGCTTCGTAGGATAATGCGTTCACCTCTAGACAGAGTGAAGGGTAAGGAGATACTAATTTCTCAAATCACACAAATTTCGATGTAATGAGCCTACCAAGGCTCCCTAAATCGTTTAAGCGCTTCATTCATTTTCTTTTTACAAGGGGATAATTTTAGCTCAGTTTCTGTCACACTTGCCCTATCTCTTTCTTTATGTCTGTCTGTCATTTCAACTCGCTTACTCTCCCGATTCCTCTCGAAATTTCCCCACCTTTTGTTTTAATGTCACGTCTCTTCAATCCGTATATGATCATGGCTCTCCACAGATTCCTTTTATCTTTGAATTTACAGTTCTCGGGAAATGTGAGGTGGTTTCCAGTTGCCTTCACCACTTTTATCACCATAGTTTCTCTTCTCCTAGACGTCTTCCTATCGAATCGTTACACTTACGCCCATCCAGTGTTGCATACAGAACCTTGCCTAGGGTGTTAAAGTTTAAAGGTCGTTAATGTGCTTGAATCTCCAAGCTTGGAGTCCACCAAAGAAGCATTCTTGTCACGGTCTCCGTCAGATTAGTTCTCTCATTTGACAATCACCCCATGGTGCGCTTCTCGTAGATAGGATGTCACGAACCGCTAGAAGTCCCAGCCTGTTCTACTGTTTAACCCACAGATGGGGAAGAGACGAGGAGTGATGGCATATCATGCCTTTCTCAAAGACGTCGGAAAATGAAATAAATAAAATAATAATAAAGAATAAAAGAAAGAAAGCAATTGACTTTCCCATGATGCTAGTTATAAAGAAACGGTTTCTGATCACATGTGCAATTGTATGACCCCATTTCCGGAAAGGACAACATCTTTTTTCTTTTTTTTTCCACTCTACAACGATATTGTTCTGACGTATTTCAGCCTACTTAATCATGAAATAGAGGTTCCGTCTTCCCAAGTCAGAACGAGGCTGCATTGAGCTCAACCATCTTTATCCGTTTTTATCCTTACTTCCCATAAATCATTTCAGAATCAAAAAGAAAAACGGACATACTCAAGAGACATTTAACTTTATTTCAATACAGTCAACAAAAAAAAAGGATTAAATGTACGTTGCAGAAACTAATTTTTTATGCTTCTTCTACACTTTCTTTCAACATCTGTCAATATTTCTGAGATGAGATATTGTTACTATTTACAATATTTACATCGTTCTGTTGTCTTAATCTTTATTGCCATATCCACGACGTTTCCGCCGTTGTACGCTCAGGCCTTCTTCAGGTGATACACGTTGGAATTTCTAACCGAAACCTTTATTTAGTCCACTGAGGTAGATTTTTTTTCTAATTCGAAGTGTCCTGTTCAGTTTCCCTAATGACACACTGCACAGTGGATACAAATAGTGACTTGACTCAAAGAGTTGTGAGTTCAATACCTGGCCATAGCAGAAAGAACAAAAACTTGAATGGTTAAGTTATTAAAGGGAATTAACTAAGAAATGTCATGGCACGTGGAATTAGAACAATTTACCCCCAGTGGACTAAATAATTAGTTTGGTTCGAAATGCCAACGTATATCACCTGAAGAAAACTGGAGCGTACAACGGCTGAAACGACGTGAATATGACAATAAATATGCGGTCAGGACTGCGAACGATGTAAACAGTGTAAATACATTTTCTTTGTTTTCATATTGAGCACGCACCTTCGCCTAAAAATACACAAAACCTAACTTAACAGGAGCCATGAAAATTTCACGATTTTCCTCTTTGTATTTTGGGATGAATCATAAATCATAATTTAATGATTAAGCTGCTTCCTTGAGTCTTTTCTATAAATATTTTTATAATAATTGTTCGGATGACCTCTTCGCTATGGTACCTAGACTTTATGAATTTAAGCGCAGTACTAGACAGGTGACGAGGTTTCATCAATCCACAGTGGCTAGACGCAACCGTAAGTTCTATGGGAGTTGTTTCTTTTCTTTCACTTCCCGCCTATTAAGGCTACATGTTTTCCAGTAAATTTTAATCTTCCAAAATCTAAATGCAATGTCTATCTACTGCAATCTCTATCTACTGTCTTCCGGATTACTCTTTTATTTTTCTCGCTCCTTGGTAATGTTTCTGTTTTCGAATTCTTCCACACCTCGTCACTTCTAGCGAGCTTGAACGACGATAAAACACGTGAGGAAATTCACTTATTGCATTGTTAAATATTTCATTGATTGATTGGTTTTCTACGGCTTCTCAACTCTTTGCAGGTTATTTAAAGCCAGAAAAAACAATTTTAGATTGTAAGAATTTTTTGGGAGATAATAATAATAATAATAATAATAATAATAATAATTTAGTGATACAAACCTTAATAATTAACTCAGAGTTGTGGGGGTGAGATGTGGATTTATGCCTTTCGCAATGGTAACGAATCCAACAGGAAGGTACAGACCAGGCTTCACGTTGCTTAACTTCGGTGAACAACGTTTCAATGTGATATGCCGGTTACGCCACCTGCCTCTTTTCTTTCTGTCTTTTTCATTTATGCATTTAAAGCATCTAAAAACCTCTCCCTACTCGCGTCTTACACAAATAACAGATAGGACGAAATGCAACCATTTTTTTGTTTCTTTATATTCTACAAATCACACGTGATCAATTTTATGCAATATCGACAATCCGTTTCTTGTTCTCAGTGCTTTTATTGTTGTTGATAATACCCTAGTAATACCGCTTGCCTCATAACAACAGCATTTATACACTACCCCCTCCCTTTTACTCTTTCCTGTCCTTTTTCTTTCATTTCCCGCCAGTCAGGTGTCTGTTGTCTGTCGTTTATTAAGACATCAACTACTAACACCAACACTACCGCCTTACCCACTTCCATCACCGTTTCTTCAAGTGATGATCCTGACGGGCAGTAGCTGCTAGTGATGAAACAATTACAGCTACTGGTCACAGTACTACTAAGCGCTGTTAGTGCCGTCTGCCCTTTAAGAATCCTGGCTCCCTTACAAAAGGTCAGCGCTTCAGCACGTCTTCGTGATACGGACGTTTAACAAGCCGCTTTCATCCAACAAAGGCTTAAAAAATGAACAACCAGAATGGTAATCGACCCCAACACGTTAAACGTATCGACTGGGCTATTGCGAATGAAGACCTTCAGACAATACAGCTATTTCAAGCAAGATAATTGTATTATGTCCTAAGCTACGAATGCCGTACTGGATAACTTTTAGTGTAGGCGTCATCTCTTTTATAAGATTAGTCCATTTCTGTTTCACCAGCTGTTGTCCTTCTTGCCAACAGATTACGGATATTTTAGTGACCTTATTTAATGACGTAATGACAACAAAAAGAAAATATTGCTGGAAAACTTGCTCTGATCGATACGTCTGAAGTTAGGTATTTCGTTGTATTAAAACAACAAGCCGTAAAAGAGCAATCCAAGTTATTAAAAACAAACAAAAGTGTGCCTTTTCTATAAATACTGTCATGATAAATATTCAAATGGGTTCTTCGCTATGACTTTATGAATTTAAGTGCAGTACTAGACTGGCAATGAGGTCTCATCAATTTACATTCGAGTTGGCTAGATATAACCGTATGTTTTATGCTAACAGTTTCTTTTCTCGCACTTCTCTTCCGGTTCCATGCTTTCCAGCCAACTTTAATCTTCAAAAATTTAAATACAATGTCAATTGCAATCTACTGTCTTCCGAATTACTCTTTTATTGTTCTCGCTCCTTTCCGTTCTCTAATTATTCTACACCCAGTAACCCCTTGTGTCTTAGTGCATTCACTGCCTTGCTTGGTGTGAATTCGATTAAAAAAAAACTTCTAGCGAGTTCAAGCGACTATAAAATACGCGAGGAAACTCCCCTATTGCATAGCTAAATAATTCTTTGGTTAATTCGTTTTCTACAGCTTATCAACCCTTTGCAGGTTATTTAAAGCCAGAAAATTTTTTTAGATTGTAAGACTGTCTTTGGAGATAATAATTTAATGATACAAACATTACTAATTAACCCATAATTGAGAGGATGAAAGGTGTATTCACACCTTTCTCAATGTTATTTACGTGTATGTGACTATAACGTACCCAACGAGAAGGTACTGACCATACTGGGTATTGCTTAACTTTGGTGATCGCTTGGGAATCAGTGTCTGAACGTGATGTGACTGTAAGCCTTTTGCTTTCGTCTTTTCTAGCAATTAAACCGAAATGCAGCATTATTTATATGGACGTGCGACCTAATTTTCTCACTAACGGAGAACGAAGCCGAATTATAATATGATTATATACTGTTTTATTATTACTACACACTTATTTTTACTATATTATTAATAGAAACGTCCTATTTAATTGGTACACGCGTTTAAGCAAACATCGATGTTTTTGTACAGTGAAATTAATGTGTACTAGTCTAGTGATCGAAGTATTAATTTCCCTGTTTAAAAAAAAATAGACGTGTGCCCAATAAATGAAACTATAATGGTAAATAGAAATAGTGTTGTGTTAAAAAATATTTTAATTACTAAATTAATTACTGTATATTTCCGCGTATAAGACGACCTTTAAATCACAAAAATCACCGTTAAAATTTGGGGGCCGTCTTATACTCCATTTTTAAAACAGAAATTCTGAGTGATGGTTGTCGGTAATAAAACAATTTCTATGTTATATATTACTGACATAACTTCATGATAAATTGATTGCCTTATTCGAAGAATGATTCTATATCAATGAAACCATGCAAGTTCAGCTGAAAAAAAATGTAAACATTGAGTTATGATTGCTTTCACATAAATGGAATGGACTATCGTCATGCATTATCATACTGTTATTAGTGGTATTTTGTGATTGTCGATGGAGTATAAGTAAATGGTCATTAGTAAACCAGGTTGTTTGTAACCGTTTAGATATAGGACAAGAAAGGGAAGAATTAGTATTAGCAAGAGGTCACGTGATGAAACTTAAAACAATAGTTTCCCTTTTAGT